TTTAAATTCAATTTTCAATTGCTAATTGCCAATATAGAGAAGTACAATTGATTTTTGTGTGATAATCTTGTATGCTGTGACCATGTTAAACTCACTTATTAGTTCTAGGGACTTTTTCTGGTAGATTACTTGGGATTTCCTATGTAGACAGACTTATTTCTTCCCTTCCAATCTGTATGACCTTTATTTCTTTTTCTTGTCTTATTGCACTGGATAGGACTTCTAGTACAATGTTATTAGGAGCAGTGAAAGTGGACATCCATGACTTGGTCCCAATGGTATGTAGTTATCATACCATTTTCCACCATTAAATATGCTGTTAGCTATATGATTTTTGTAGATACACTTTTTCAGATTGAGAAAGTTCTATTCCTAGTTTGTTGAGATGTTTTATCATGAATGGATATTAAATTTTGTCAAATGCTTCTTCTGCAATATATATGATCCTGTGGTTTTTCTTCTTTGGCCTGTTAATATGGTGAATTATGTTCATTGATTTTCAAATATTGAACCAGCTCTGCATTACCAAAATAAACCACCCATGATTGTGGTATATTATTCTTTCATTATATTGTTGGATTTAATTTTATAATATTTTATTGAAGATATTTATGTTTATATTCATAAAGGATATTGGTCTGTAGCGTTCTTTTCTTATCTTGTTGGTACCAGATTAATTCTAGCCTCACAAAATGAGTTGTTAAATGTTCACTCCTCTTCTGTTTTCTTAATGATCTTATGGAGAATTGGTGTTATTTTTTTTTAATGTTTGTTAGAATTTACCACTGAAACCATCTGAGCATGGCTTTTTCTTTTTTTTTTTTTTGGAAGGGTTTTAAACTATAATACAAGTTTAATTTTAAAAATAAATATGGGAATATTTAGATTATCTACTTCTTGCATGAGTTTTTATGGTAGTTTGTGACTTTTAAGGAATTGGTCCATTTCATCTAAATTATAGAATTTATGTGCATAGAGTTTTTTGTACCCCTTTATTATTATTTCAGTAGATGTGAGGGTCTCTAGTGATGGCCTTCATTTCATTCCTGATATCGGTGTCTTGACTCCTGGTTTGTGTCTTGCCTCTTTTTTCTTGGTCATTTTAGCTAGAGATTTATCAATTTTACTGATCTTTTAAAAAAAACAGCTTCTGGTTTCATTCATTACTCTCTGTTGTTATTGATTTATTCTATTACCTTTATCATTTCCTTTCTTCTGCTTGCCTTGGATTTCATTTGCTATATTATTTTTCTACTTTTGTAAAGGAGAAGTTTAGATTATTGATTTAAGACCTTCTTCTTTTCCGATATAAGAATTTAATGCTACCAGCCTGAGCAACATGGTGAGACCCATCTCTAAAAAAAAACAAGAAAAATTAGCCAAGTGCAGTGACATGTGCCTGTAGTCCCAGCTATTTGGAAGGCTGAGGCAGGAGAATCACTTGAGCCCAAGAGTTTGAGTTTGAGGCTGCAGTGAGCTATGATTGTGCCACTGCATTTCAACGTGGGTGACAGAATGAGACCCTGTTTCTAAGCACTGCTTTGGCTTCATCTCACACATTTTGATATGTTGTGTTTTCATTTTTGATGAGTAAAAAATATTTTCTAATTTTCCTTGAGACTTCCTCTTTGGTCAATGGATTATTCGGAAGTATGTTACTTAATTTTTAAGTGTTTAGATATCTTCCAGTTACTTTCTGGGTTTTTTTACTTCTTGTTTAATTCCATTAAAGTCAGAGAACAGCTTTGTACAATTTCAGTTCTCTTCAACTTTTTAAGGTTTGTTTTATGACCAAGGATATAGCCCGTCTTGGTGAACATTCTTGAATATTCACTTGAATGTAGATTCTGCTGGTATTGGATGGAGTATTCTATAAATATCAAGACAATCCTGTTAGTTGATGGTGGTGTTCAATTCTTCTATATATTTGCTGATTTTCTTCCTATTAATTCTCTCAATTACAGAGAGAATAGAGCTGAAATCTCCAACTATAGCTGTAGATTTTTCCATTCCTCCTTTCAGTTCTATTAGTTCTTGTTTTATGTATTTTAAAACTTTGCTGTTAGATGTATACATGTTTAAAATTGTTATGACTTCTTGGTGAATCAAGTCTTTTACCATTATGTATTTAATAATATTCTTCTATCCCTGACATTTTCCTTACGAAGTCTACTTTGTCTGATATTAATATAGCAACTCCAGCTTTCTGGGGTTTTTTAACCAACCTATATCACAGTAGTTAAATTTGGATCCTTGGAAACAGAATATAGTTTAATCTTATTTGTTTATCCTTTCTTACAATCTCTATTTTTTAATTAGTGTGTTTAGACCACTTATACTTAATGTAATTATTGATACATTTGGATTTAGGTATCCTACTTTATTATTTGCTTTCTGTTTGTTTCTTCGTTTCCTCTCTCCTACCTTCTTTGCTATTTTTGTATTTTTCAGAATTACATTTAAATTTATTCAGTTTTTTACTATATCATTTTATATAGATCCATTTGTATTATATGTACTTGATTTCTCACAATCTAATTATAATTAATATTTACTTCTCAAGTAGAATAAGGAAATTTTACCTCCATATAGGTACGTTTACTCTCCCACTTTATGTTATAGTTATCATATATTTTACATCTACATATATTGAAAACCTATCAGACAATGTTATAATCATTGCTTTCAATCATCATTCGTATTTTAAAGAACTTAAGAGGAGACTAGACTAATATATTTACCTAGATATTTATCATTTCTATTCCTCTTCCAACTTTTCCTTTGATACCATTTCTGTTCCATCTGAAAAACTTCCATTAACATTTCTTTTGGAGCAAGTCTGTCAATAACATATTCTCTTGGCTTTACTTTATCTAAGAATGTCCTTATTTGTACCTCTAGTATTGAATGATATTTTTACTGGATGTATAATTCTGTGTTGATAGTTTATTTCTTTCAACATTTTGAAGATACTGTTCCACATCCTTGTAACCTGGTTTCTGATGAGAAATCTGCAACAATTCTATATGTAATGCATCACTTTTCACTGACTACTCTCAGGATATTTTTCTTTGACTTCAAGAATTTGATTATAATGTATCTGGACTTGGATTTTCTTGTGTTTATCCTGTTTGGGATTTGCTGAGTTTCTTGAATCTGCAAGTTTATATCTTCACCAAATTTCAAAAGTTTTCATCATCCCTCAAACACTTTTTCTGCACCATAGTATTTCTCCTCTCCTTTTGACACTTCAGTGACATGAATGTTAAACTATAGATCCCTTAGGTACTGTTCATGCTTTCTGTTGTTCAAATTGGATAAAGTCTTTTTTTTTTTAAGAGAGATGAGGTCTTTCTCTGTCACCCAGGATGGAGTGGAATGGCAAAATCACAGCTAATTGTAAGTTGAAATTCATGCTGATCACTCCTCAAGCAATCCTGCTGCCTCAGCCTCTCAAGTAGCTAGGACTATAGGCCATGTGCCACCACACCTGGCTAATTTTTAAAAACTTTTTTGTAGAGACAGGGTATCCTATGTTGCCCAGGCTGGTCTCAAACTCCTAGCCTCAAGTGATCCTCCCACCTTGGCCTCCCAAAGTGCTGAGATTAAAGGCATGAGCCACCACACCCAGCCTGAATAATGTCTATTGATCTGTCTTTAAGTTCTCTGACTCTTTACTCTGTATCTCCATTCTTCTGTTGAGCATATATATCAGAGAATTTTTAAAACTATATTTTTCAGTCTAAAATTTCAATTTTTTCTTTTTTATATCTTCTATTTTTTTGCTGATACTTTATATCTTTTCATTTATTTCAAAATTGTTTGCCCTCACTTTTGGGAGCGTAGTTATCATGGCTGTTTTAAAGTCTTTGTCTGATAATTCCAAAATCTGTGTCATCATGGAGTTGGGTATCTATTGATTGTCTTTTCCTTTTCAAATTGAGATTTTCCTAGGTCTTCCTGAGCTGAATAATTGTGAAATGTAGCCTTTGCAATGCTATACAGATCTGCCCTGCATGTGCACCAGTGGCCATTCTGGGACCTGGGTATTGGCCTACCCCAGAGTTGAGTTCTCAAAGATTGTGGTATGATGTTTAGGATAAGATCCATGCATGCACAGCTCAGCTGGGACTGCATGAGTTCATCCACAAACTTATGAAATTGCTATCTCAAGCTCCCTCCTCTTCAGGACCCATTTCCTGGTCCTTGGCCAAAAAGCTAGAGATTTAGTTTCCTCACCCTGCCATGCATTTCTCAAAACTGTGTCTGCATCTGGGGCCAATCAGCAGAAAACAGAGAAAAAAAACAATGTGTATACTCTCAATATTATAGGTTCTCTGGTAGGAAAAAAGAATTATCCTCCCCCTAAAGTCTTAGGTGCCTGCCTGGCCACCAACATCATTGCTGCCACTGTTACCAACAGAATTGTTTGGGTGCTGAGTTGGGAAATAACAGAAAAAGAAGGAAAAAACAACAAAAGATTTCTTCCTCTCTTTCTGTCTCTTCTGTCTCCCCTTTTTCACTCCTTAGGCCAGAAAGAGAGTGTTTATCTTGAATGTTGTTTCTCTGCATCTATTGTGCACTTCTGGGTTTGAAAATGCCTTTTAGTCCTGTCTAGGTAATACCAGAAGGGGAAGAAGAATGGCAAATTTACTGCCAATTTGGTAATGTTTTAAATTCTGGTCTTCATTGCCAATCAGCCTTCTATGATTTACTTTGCAGAATCTCAACTAGTTGTCCCATGCATTCTGTCCAGGGTTTATAGTTGCATTCAGTGGGAGAGACAAGGTGGTCAAGCGTGCTTACTCCATCTTGCCTGAATCTAGAAACTATCTGCTTGGTTTGTTGTTTTGTTTTTAAAGAAAAAAATAAGAATTATTTGTATATAAAAATGACAGTTCTCAAACCAATTGTATTTTGTTGTTCAACTATTGGTCATGAGACATTCACCCTTTTCTGGTAACATCTAGCTGAGAATATTACCTCTTTTTCCTTTGCAGGGACACAGCTAACTGTAGAGGTCCACCCTCGAGATGCCATGCCCCAGCTGCTCAAGAAGTTCTCCTTGGCTAAACGTATGTATGTACAGTGCTGCTTGTGGTGGAGAGCTGGCAGGGAGGATTGAGGGCAGCTGGGTGGGCCAGACTCTAGCCCAGGCATCTTCTGAGGGAAAGAGAAGCATGACGTGGACCTACAAACGGGGAAAAGACAGAGACATAACAGCTTCATCCTGGAAGACTTTCTTCTCCACACCCAGCTACCACTGTTTTTGTGCCTCTCTGGAATTAGGCATGGGTAACACCAGGCATTTAGCTGAAGATGCATTTCATGACAAGAGTGTTTTTGCTCTTGTTTTTAGATGTCATTTGCTGACTGCCTAAAAAGTGGCATGCACAGTTCTAAGTACTTTACATTTATTAACTTTTTAACCCTCTGACATATACTAATATTATCCCCACTTTTCAGATCAACAAAGTAAGTCTCAGAGAGGTAAAATAACTGCCCAAGTCACCAAGCTAGGATGTAAGTCAGGACTCAGGTCCAACTCTGAAGCCTGTGATCTTAACCACCATATTTGGCTGCCCTCAGTGTGGTACGTGGAATCCCAGGCCCAGGACCATGATGTCTGCTGCACTCCTTTCTCAGCCCTCTCCCTGCATCTGTCCATCTCATGGCTAAACAGAGGGCTCAGAAGGAATGCAGGCCAAGGAGCAGAGGCTGTAGAACAGCAGAGGCTCAAGTCTTCTTCAAGTCCCCTCAGTGAACCAAAGTCCTCCAAGCATTTCCAGTCCTGTAGTCTTCAGCAGTCAGGATCTCAGGAGGGAAGTCCAGCAAAGAGATGGTAGGCTCGGAGGTCGACTGGCTGGGTTCACATGTTTCAGCTGTGTGATCTTGGGCAAGTGGCTTAACCCTTCTTTGGGGCTCAATTTTCTCATATATAAAGGAAGAAAATATGTAAACCTCCCTCACAGGATTTTTGTGAGGTTAAATAAGATAGTAACTATAAAGCCCAGGCCAGGCATAGTAAATACATAATAAATGCTAGTTACCATTTTGAACCCTCATCATTCTATCAAAAATATATTAATAGGTGGAAGCCAGACATAGTAGAAAAGTTCCTTTCTTTTTGCCCATGGAGTCTAATAACTATTGGCTACCATTCTGCCTTAACAGTCCTGAATTTATAGGATTTGGTTACCCTTTAATCCTCCCAAGGAATAATTTAATAATTGCCTGGCCAGGTGCAGTGGCTCATGCCTACAATGCTAGCACTTTGGGAGGCTGAGGTGGGAGGATTGCTCAAGGCCAGGAGTTCAAGACCAGCCTGAGCAAGAGCGAGACCCCATCTCTACAAAAAATAAAAAATTAGCCAAATGTGGTAGTGTGCACCTGTAGTCCCAGCTACTGAGGAGGCTGAAGCAGGAGGACCACTTGAGCCCAGGAATTTGAGGTTGCAGTGAGCTATGATGATGCCACTACACTCTAGCCCTGGGTGACAGAATGAGACCCTGTCTCAAAAATTAATAATAATAGTAATAATTACCTGACCTTTCTGGGTTTCAAACACCATACAAATTGCTTTTCCCTCCCCTTATTTTTGTTTTTATCCATGATCAGTTTTTGTTCTGAGGTTATCTGGCAGTGAATTCATTAGTGCTTTCAGCATCACTGTGTTCCAAGATGGCAGGAGAATCCAGCGGAGGGCATATTCCAGGAGGACCCACTGAATATAATCCAAAGTGTTGGGGTCAGAGCAACTTCTAACTCTGTTTGTAGACTACAGTTTCCTTTCTTGTTATCCACTTCCTGGTTCCCGGTCTCCCCTCTGCCATACCAGGAAGTTCACGGCAATTCCAGCAGCAGTTCAGTGGTGGGTAAGATGGGAGCAAGGAGGCTATAAAAAGGAGAGTGAAGAGGAAGGGTCAGAAGCATGGACCACCACACAGAGAATCATCAGTGCTTATATTTCTGTTTCTTCTGAAGTGTCTCTACCTCTGACCTTTGGGATATTGTAGGTTTACAAGGTGATAAAAATGGAAACACAAGACCCCGGCAGCCTGAAGGGAAAGATGCCCATGGTAAGTTCCAGAGCCTTCTCCAAGGCCATTCTCAAGAGACCAGATTGATTTAGCCTTATGGGCCAATCTCTAGTCAATCAGCAATGACTTCCTGGGGCACTGTGCTGAGAGTCTGGGGCCACCTCTGGGTTCAGGGGGAGAAGAGTGTCATGACTGATTAACAGTATGTGCCATGGGTGGAAAAGGAAAAAGCTCATCAAATGTCATCCCAAAGCTGAAGCATAAGCTCCACCAATAAAAAGGCAGTCCATTAAGGGGAATATGTTAAAAACAGAATTCCAAATTATGTTAACTTTAAATGGAATGCCAAATGTCTTTAAGGTAGGAGTTGTGAGTAAGCAGAGTGAGGCAGAGGAAACACTGAGTGGGGTGACGGATGACTTGGGTTGGAATCCAGCTTTTGCCCCTCATTTGCCTTCCCTCAGCCTCAGTTTCCCCCTCAGTATAGACCAGATGGCATCTCAGGCTCAATGCAGTTCAGCACTTCTTCCCACTGTCTTGCTTTAAAATTATTTAGTTAATGACATTGGTATTTTAAACATATTTGTGCAAAATAATATTTGGATCTTATATAATCTGCTCGGAAGATAAATTTAATGAGGCATAAATCATTATGGGTATTTTTAATGTTCAGATATTGTAAAATGGAACCAAAAAAGGAGAAAACTAGTAATACAGTTTCAGTCCCATATTGGAAATGCTGTCCTTCTTTTAAATGGGGGCAGGGAGACCTCATTTGTAGAGCTTTGCTGAGTGGAAACCTGTTAAATGTCTGAGTCCACTTCGGCCTGGGTGGCTACTGGCCCTGGTCAGCGTTGGTCTTGAGTCTTTTTTCCTCCCTGTGTCTTTGTCCCAGCGACCTGACACAAGGCCCCGTCTCTGGGCGGGAAGCTTCCTGTGAGAGAAGCTGGCCATAGATGAGTGACTCTGAGGCCCAGCCTCCCTCAGTGCCTGTCACCAGGACACTGCCACACAGCAGGGGTGCTCCAGTCTCCAGCTGACCATGGCAAGGGAGGAAGCCTCTGTGGGTGACAAACATAGCCTTCCCTGTGGGACCCAGCTGGCCCGGCCCTACGGTGCCCTCCTCCCGCACCTGGGCTGCTCTGTGGCTCTGCACCCAGCACCACAGCCGTGGCACACACTTCCCTCCTTGAGCTGGTCAGGGGTTGGCAGCCCGCCTGCACACTGCCCACGGAGCACCCATTCCTAGGGAAAATAACAGGATCCGCAGAAAACTAAATGGTGGGGAGAAGCAGATTCCATCATCAGTATGTCCGGGATTCCCGGTTCCCTGAGGTCCAGCCAGTTTCTTTACTGCTGACTTCCCAAGGTCTGCAAAGAGGCTATGTTCCCTGCAGACCTCCCAGAGGATGATGGCGGTTGCTATAATTCCCAAACTAATTTGGCCAGGGAACCCTTCCAGGAGATACAGGTCTTGGGCCCAGTGTTTCAGGCTTTAGAATTGTTTTAAAGGTTGGACAGTTGCAGCTCCTCAAAGAGGCATCGCAGCCTGGGCCAGGCAGCCCTCCCCAGGGGTTCTCAGCTGCTGACCGAGCCTCCCTGTGTTTCCAGCCTACCCCTGGGATCGGTCCAGCCTGAAATCCATGCCCCTGGACCTGCGGCAATTTGAGAAACTGGACACCTATGCCTCACAGGTAGGAGAGCTGGCCCCTCTGGCCATGGGCTCCCCAAGGTGGCTTAGAGTTCCCTACCCCAAGACAGCAGAGCCTCTTGTCTCTCCTTCTGAGCATATCCTGAGTCACCAGGACAGATGGCCCAGGAGTGCCTTTTCACAGCATGTGGATGGGAAGCAGAAGGCCCCAGGCAGTAGGCCCCTGCCCAGGACTAGAGGCTACTCCATCCCCCACCCCACCCAGGCTCCTGGTGTTCCCACCCCAGGCTACACACCTGGAGCTCCCCCTGGCAGGCGCCCTGGCCAGCCTGCCCTGCCCTCCCCCTGCCCCATTTTGGGCACTGCTGCTGCTGAGCCTTGCAGCCCCTAGCCCATGGAGGAAGGAAAGAGAGGGAGGAGAGGACCATGGATTCAGATGGCCCGAGCCACTGTGACCACACTCACCTCTGGAAGGTGTGAGCTGCCAGCCCCCTATGCCTCTGGGCCTGGGCATGCCAGGGGTGGGGTGAGCGGGCAGCTGAAGAGCTGAGTAGTAGGGTGACATGGGGGTCCTGGGGGCCAGGCAGGAGCTCAGCTCAGAGTCTGATGAGAGGGCCAAGGTGCTGGACCCTTTTCTGAAGTCAGAATGAGCCCTCCTAGGAAAGTAAGCAGTCTTAGAAAAACAACCCTATGGCTGGCATATAGTAGGTGCTCAGGAACCTTGCTGAGATGATGAGTGAATAGATAGGTGCATGGCTCAAGAAAGTCAGGCTAGAGGCAGGGACATCAGTCAGTCAGGGGCATCCAGCTGTCCTGGCAGAAGATATGGCCTGGATTAAGCAGGGACAGAGGACAGGAAGGAGTGGAAAGACCAATCCAGGCTGGAGGCAGAGGGGAAGGACCCCATCACCAGTGTGCATCGAGGGGGTGGGAGGCTCCCAGATGGCTGGGTTGAGTCATGAGGGGAGGCCAGGGAGTGCATCACCACAAGGAGCAGGTTTTAGGGGATGACAAGTGTGTTTAGGGTACGAGGAGCTCTAGTATCTGTGACATATCCAGGGGAAATGCCCACCCGGCTTTTGTATATTCGAGCCTGGAGAGGTCTGGGCAGGAAACACTGAATGGGAGACACCGGATTCCGTGAAGAGCTGAGACCACAGGATGGGAATAGTATTGGGGAAGGCGATGGGAGCCCATTGGGCCTGGAGCCACCATAGAGGCTGGGGCAAGGTGAGGACGGGTCCTGGAAGGCTGGGAGTTGGGGGTGCTCCCAGGGGCAGGCGTGGGCACCAGCAAGAGCTGCGCCGTCTGGTCGAGTGAGATCCGGACAGACTCCTTTCTGCTACTTCAGCATTGCATCACCTCTTGCCTCTGAAGGGCCAGCTCAGAGGAGGCTGGAAGGTCAGACAGACTCCTGTGGGCAAGCAGGAGGGAGGAGTAGGGAGTGCAGAGGAGCCCCACAGGGCCTACAGGAAGGGTGGCCGGAGTGAGCAGGGCTGGAGTGAGGAGGAGACAGAACAAAGGAGGGGAGGAGGGCAGGACACAACAGAGGCAGGAGCCCCGGACCAAAGCCCATGCACACGGGATGAAGCAGGAGGGAGGACGAGGGCTCATTAGTGGGGCTGCCGAGAGTGAGGGAGTGCGGTGGGGTCCAGAGTCTGCACAGAGTGAGGCACTTTGTAAAGGCCACCAGAAGGGATGGGACAGGCTGCCAGCCAGACTCAGTGAGCAGTGCCAGGAGCCCAGCAAAGGCCAGAGACCCAGCCACACAGCAGGGGTAGACAGGCTCAGGAGATGCCAGGAGGTGACGACTGAAGAGCCAGAAGTCCCGGCACTGAAATGTAGGGTTAAGTCAGGACCCCAGGCTGCAGTGCAGACCTGCAATGTGGGGCACCATTCTAGGCCCTGGGAGAAGGACAAGGACAAAGACAGTGGAATTGGAGCTGAACATAGAAGATGAAGCAGGAAGCAGCTAGGAGAGTAGGTAATGAAGGGCCCAGAGGTCTCCTGAGGTCAGAGCGCCAGTGTGCTAGGCACAGTCAGTGGGTGGGGCCCTGGGGTCCCTATGCCACTGAAGGATCATTCCAGGCATCCCGGAGTACTCTGGAGGTGGGGTGGAGGGCAGCGTGGCACCAGTGTGGGGCCGTGCCCCAGCTTTTCTACAGAGATCAAACAGGGTCAGGGCCACCTCTCCAGCAGCCCCAGCCTGTCTCCTCCTGAGGGCCCCTGTGAGAAGAGCTAGTTTGTTCTCTTTGTTACTATCATGGTAAAACACGCATAACTTAAATTTGCCATTTTAGTCATTTTTAAGGGTACAATTCACTGGCATGAATTATATCCCCAATGTTATACAACCATCACCACCATCTAGTTCCAAAATACACTCATCATCTAAACAGAAACTCTGCAGCCACTAAGCAATGACTTCCAATTCCCCTCCCCCAGTCCCTGGCAACCTCTGCTTACTGTCTGAATTTGCCTAACTATTTCATTTAAGTGAAATCATACAGTATTTGTCTAACTATTTCATTTAAGTGAAATCATACAGTATTTGTCCTTTTGCATCTGGCTTATTTCACTCAGCATCATGTTTTCAAGGTCCATCCATGTTGTAGTATGTATAGGACTTAATTTCTTCTTTATAAGGTTGAACAATATTCCATTGTATATATACACCACATTTTGTTTATCCATTCATCCGTGGAGGGACGCTGCAGTTGTTTCCACCTTTTGGCTATTGTGAATCGTGCCGCAATGAACATTGGTGAACAAGTATCTGTTTGAGTGCCTGCTTTCAGTTTTTGGGGGTATATACCATGGACTGGAATTGCTGGATCATATGGTAATTCTACATTTAACTTTTTGAGAAACTGCCCAAGTTTCATCTACAGCACCTGCACCATTTTACATTCCCACCAGCAATGTATAAGAGCTCCAATTCCTCCACATTCTTGCCAACGCTTGTTATCTTCTGATTTTATTTTTAATAGCCATTCTAGGAGGTATGAAATGGTATCTCATTATGATTTTTATTTGCATTCCTCTCATGCATGACTAATGATGTTGAATATTTTTTCATGCACTTACTGGCCATTTGTGTATCTTCTTTGAAGAAATGTCTATTCAAGTCCTTTTCCCATTTTTGAATTGGGTTATTTGTCTTTTTGTGGTTGAGTTGTAGGTGTTATTTATATATTTTGTCATTTAACCCTTATCAGACACATGATTTCTCCCATTTTGTAAGATGTCGTTTCACTTTCTTAATAATATCTTTTATGCACAAAAATTTTTTATTTCAATGAACTCCAGTTCATCTATTTTTTCTTTTGTTGCTTGTGCATTTGTTGCCATATCTAAGAATCCATCACCAAATCCAAGGTCATGAATATTTACCTTAGTGTTTTAAGAGTTTTATGGCTTAAGCTCTTATATTTGGATCATTGATCCATTTTGAGTTGCTTTTTGTATATGGTGTAAAATAGAGATCCAACTTCATTCTTTTGCATGTGGAAATCCGATTGTTTCTGCACCATTTGTTAGAGACTATTCTTTCCCCACTGAATGGACTTGGTACCCTTGTCAAAAATCAGTTCACCATAGATATATGAGTCTATTTCTGAACTCAATTCTATTGTTCTATATGATCCGTATGCCAGTACCAAACTGTTTTAATTACTATAGCTTTATAGTAAGTTTTGAAATTGGAAAGTGAGCCCTTCCACTGTGTTCTCCTTTTTTCAAAATTGTTATGGCTATCAGGAACCCCTTGCAAATCCATAGGAATTTGAGGACTAGCTTTTCCATTTCGGCAAAAAAAAAAAACTATTGGTGTTCTGATAAGCATTGTGTTAAATCTGTAGATTGGCTTTGGTAGTATTGACCATGACTAGAGGCTGCTACAGCTGCCCAGATGTCCACCTGGCTGGCCCCAGGATCTACAGAGAAAAGCCGTGGCAGCTCTAGAGCCTGTGATTCCACTCATCAGCACCACCTTCCCTGCCCCCACCCCTCTCCTCCTCCCTATTTGCCCTCAGCCAGCTTTCGTCCTTCTGGGCCTCTCCTCCAGCTTCTCTGCCTGGAGGAAGAACAGCTCTGGCTGCAGGTGCAGGGTGCTTGGCCCCACTCAGCCCCCTCCAGGCCCTGATACAGCACACCCTTCCTGCTCCCCAGGTGACAGCCAAGAGTGGCCTGGATGAGCTGGTGAATGACCTGCTCCAGGAGGCCCACAGTGACTTGGAAAGAGTCCGTGCCATCTGGATCTGGATCTGCCATCACATAGGTAGGCCCACCTGTGGCATCACTGGGTCTATAACTGCTTGCTGCCACTTTCTGGGGGCCTCTGCTCCCATCGCACCATCAGTGTGTGTGGAATGAGATGGAAGGTAGGGGAGGGGGATGCAGATGGCTGGACTGAGTAAAAAAAGACCAGCCAAGGAGGGCAAAATTCACTGTGTGCTAACAGTGTCCATGAAGGTTGGTCGGGGGTGGGGGGAAATCCCAGGAGGCTCTCTGACCACAGCCAATGGCCAGAGCTAGGGCTACCCAGAAGAAGCCTTCCCTAAGTCCCAGCTTCAAAGTAAACCTACTGCACAAAGATGAGAGTCCAGGACAGAAGGGTGTCTCCAAGAAGGATGGCCATTGGTTGAGGAGAAGTTGCAGCTATTTGAAAAGTTGTTTCTACACCAGAAGTTTCATTAAGTACCAGCGCCAGAAGAGGCAGGTACCCCTCTTCTTGCTCCCACACTGGTGACCTCTGCCACAGGTCCCAGCCTAGTCTCCAGGGTTCTCAGAGCCACTGGAGAGGACATGGGCCTGCACAGCTGCCCACAGCTCTCCACAGGACAGCCTTAGGAAGCTCACCAGGTCAAGCCAAGCCACGAGGTGATGGAGGGCCATGTTGTGGGGTGGACTCCTATCCTCTGACATAAAGACCAGCAGGGCCTTTCCTGACCTGCTGCCACTGGGCGTTTCCTTTGTCATTCTGGAGCAACAGTTAGGCATGCAGCTTAGAGGATGAGCTCACCTGGCACAGGTAGGCGGTCTCAACAGAAGGCCTAAGGCCACCTGCTCCCACCCCAACCCCATCGGCTCCACCTGTACCTTAAAGGGACAAGATCAGAAACAGAACACTTGGTAGGACTTTGTTTACTGCTCCCACCCCCACACCAACACACACAGTCCCTTTGGACACTTAATGGCTACAGTGACTCCAGCCTCGGGGCCTCACCACAGGCCTCTTGCTCTCTTCCTAGTCCCCACATCCCCTTGTCAGAGAAGTGACAGGCTGTGAGAGAGCCGCCTTCTCTACTTTGGGGTGAGCTTTAACCACAGCTCACTGTGCCCTGTGGGCCAGCGTGAGGCCTTGGCTTGGGGCCGCCTGCACGGTTTCACAGGAATTGCATGCAGAGCTGTGTGATGGGGACAAGTGGAGAGAGCCCCACACTCTGGCACTGCCTTTTTCCCTTCCCCTCCCAGACTCTCCTCAGAGGCCTGAAGGGCCAGGTAGCTCACTCTGCCTAGGCTTTCTCTTCCTCTTGCCACCTGCACAAAGAGGTGACAGTTCCCAAGTCTCACTCGGGCCAGGGCCCTGCTTCCATTCAGCCCGCCATGGTTTCCTGGGGCAGGGATGGGGCCTCCTCTCACCTCCATGCTGGCCTCACCCCCTCCCAGGCCCTGATTCCTCATGGCTCCCTCCTCTGCCCTGCAGAATATGACATGGCTGCTGCCCAGGAGAAGGACCACCAGGCCTTCAAACCCACTGACATCCTGCGGACTCAGAAGACCAACTGTGACGGCTATGCTGGCCTCTTTGAGAGAATGTGCAGGTAGGAGAGGCTGGAGCTGACCCCCAGACCCCATCCCTCTCCCCCATCTGAAGTGCTGTGTACCTTTGCCCGCATGCCAGGCCTGAAACCTGAGTTTGCAAACTCTGCTCTGGAATCCAAGTGAGTCTTGAAAAGGTCAATTTCTCCCTTTTTAACACCAGCATAATTGACTTTGTACCATCTGCCGGGCTTCGCGATACATTAACATAATGGCAGATGAATGCACAGAGATAATTTGGTTATAAAAAGCCCTTTTTCCACCTTCTCCCATCTCTGTGCAGCTGAAGGTTAAAAGAATGACAGGCCTGGGAATGGGAGGACAGTGGCTGTGGATGCCAAGGGGCTGTGAAAGGCCGTTCTCAGGGAAAACTAAAGATCTCCCAGCTGAAAAGATTTGTCAGTTGGAAAGCTGAATAAATAGGAAGCAGCTTCTCTTGGAGCCTGTGGGCTCCATTTTCAGCACTCTGGGAAGTGAGCATGTGGCCAGTTTGCTGGGGTGGGGGACAGCTCTGGCCTGAACAGGAGAATGGGCCATTGCTCGTTCCCAGTGACTCAGGACAGGCTCGGGGCTGGAGGAGGCCTGCTGACCCCCCCCCAGCATCCTGTGCCAGCTCTCTGAGGTCTGCTGACCCTCCAGGAAACCATCAGCTAGCCCTTGGCTAAAGCCCCTCCCCAGAGGGTGATGAATGGCTGCCTACTTCTCTGCAGGCCTCTGGGAGTAGGTCTTCTCAGCCTGTCAGCCCACCAGGACTGCAGTTGGCAATTCATCAAACCAAATATAAGGAGCACTGAGTCCACAGGCAGGCAGCTGCCAGGCACCAGGAACAAGCAGCCTATTCCTGGCCTGAGCCCCATTGAACTGCCCCCACCCCCATTCCCACTGCCAGCCACAGACATGTACCTGGCCCCCTGTTGCTCCAACCCTCCTGTTCCACTCCCTGCTCTTCCTTTTCCTCACTTCCAAGGCCCACCCCTGAGACCACAGCCCCGGGGAAACCAGGGCAGGTCAGGGTGCAGAGGACGCCACCCTGGCCACTCCCCACCCACTCCTCAGAGCAGCCCTCTGCACCCCTCCATTCCTACTGCCACTCCCCATCCCACACCCAGGAGCCCCCACCTGCCTGGGGGCCTCCACAGGAACCTGGATCCTCACCAGCCTCCCTGCCCAGGTTCCTCTCGTCCTGGGTTCCTGAACACGACTAAAGGTTCACATTGTCCCACAAAGTCTTCCAAACTCTGATCTCAACCACCTTTCCAGCCCTGCGTGTTGTGACACCTCGTATTTCCATCTCCTTATGTGCACCTGCCCTGTCCCTAATGCCCCTCCCAGGCCCCACTCCAGGAGGGCCCCACCACCTCCCCTCCCCATGTGTCCTTGGCATACCTGTACACCCACTCATGCATTGCCTTATGCTTTTATTTAATAACATTTTTAGATTTAAAAAATACTGTTCCTTGTAGACGATTTATAAAATTCACTACAGTGAAAGGAAGAAATTATTATTCTGAATCCCACCACTTACACTGACACTGTTAACATGGTGTCATTTTCCTTTCCTGACTTAGGGCTATGCATATAGGCATGCCCTGTGTGCATTTCTTCTTATCCATCTTATAGGTTTCCTAGGTCTGTATGTGTCTTTAGCCCTCTCTCTTTCTGCTTCCCTAGTACATACCCATCTCAGAATCCTACACCCATGAGGCCCTCAATAGACATTTATATAATAGAATGACAGGAAATGGTAGAATATTCCTAGCAGACTTCTGTGAAATGGGCCTTATTCTCCTTTTAAATAATGAAATAACGACCAGTCAGTTTTCAGCTTTATTTTTGCCTAGCTTCTTTCAGAATGTGATTTTATTCATCTGATTTCACAAATTTGAAAACACTCGGGTGTTTTTTTAAGTTACAGGCTGCATTCTTCTTTGTCCAGTATGAGCTTTCTAGCGTACTATAGAAGCAGTGCCAGATTCAAAGCCAGGAAGACCGGGGTTTACTCATTAGTGGCGGATCCTCCTTTATCCAGTGCAAGCATTCTAGCATGCCGTAGAGGGAGTGCCAAGGTTAAAGCCAGAAAGACCTGGGTTCCAGTCCTTAATTTACCGCTTATTAGTTTTCTTCATTTTCTTGAGGTGCTTAACCTCCTGCAGCCTGTTTTCTCATCTGTGTATTGAGGACTATGTTACCTACTTGGCAGGACTGTAAGACCAAACGAGAATGTGCAGTTTGGGGTTTGCTAATCTGATTCGAGGTGTGTATTTTTTAACCTTCCCTGAGTATCGAAGTGCTTTTGCTCTGTGGAGCTTTCCTGCAGACCGTGCTGGCCCACATAGACTCAGAAAACTGACACTTGGCTTGAGTGAAACTGTCAGCTTTGTGCCTGGTCCGGATACTTAACAATGGCCATATCCTGGCCTACAGCGGATCATTAAAACACATCCCAACATTTTGCATCATTTAAGGTTAGTTTCAACCTGGCAATTACCACGTACAAAATTCCTCACGCTGCCTGGGACATGGAACAATAGCTACTGTTCCCTGAATTCCTTTAGCTTTTGCTTTAAAGATCAGTAGTCTATCCATGCATCACCTTCTTATTTCTCTTTACCTTTAAAACTGCCAGAAGTTTGGTAAATTCATTAGCTGATTCCTTAATAACTGAAGACGTGTAATCCACACTTGCTGATTTATGCCTGAGCGGTTGTCAGGGTGGCCTCTCAGCAAGAGCTGTAGCCCCACGGCCATCATTGCTTCCTCCCCGTCCATTCCGCCCACCTCCCTACAGTGGCCTTGTTAAAGATTGATTTCACAAAGTAATTTGGTGGGGGAGTCAGATATTTTCACATCACTCACTTCCTTCTTGTCTTTCCCACGTTACTCACGTGGGTTGTTTCTGTTGCTGCCTTTGTGTGTAGCTGCTGGTCCAGTTCTTTCTGACTTCCTACCACCAAGCATGAATGTCTCCCTTTTTGCCTCGATTGCCCACATCCCTAATTGATTCTGCCTCATTTCCTTGCAGGAGCCAGGCTTAATTCCCCAGACTCCTGCCACTGAGCCAGTCCCCACAAATCCTCTTCCCCTGCTATCACGGCTCCAGCACCCCCAGCTAGCGGATCGTTCGGGGACTTTGGAAAAAGCCATGAGCTTATTACCAGTTTGAAGTTCTGATGCTAAGGGGGCTGGTTGTCACCAATCAGATGTCGGTTGGTGTCACATTCATCCTCCAGCTGTCACAGAGCACGGGCAGGGCATGTACTGGTCAGACGGCTGCTTCTGGTTAGCACAATGTCCCCCATGATCCTTCAACATTACTTGGTTCCAAAGGCCCCAAAAGATGGGGAGTGGCCTTCTAAGCCTTCTGGGAGATGCAAATTAGTTTGATAACCTCAAATTATCGTCAAATCTGACTTTGTCATATAAGGCCTCTGAAAAGGACATCTAAACTCCCCCTACCCTTATAGATAGGGTAGCGCCCACAAATGAGTTATGTCACTATAGCAAACCATCTTTTCATTTCACTCTGTATACTACCCATAAGTTTATGGATTAAAACAAAATTTTGATTTGCAAAAGGGCTGATGCAATGCAAAGGCTCCTGAACTGTGCATCGGGACAACTGCGTCCCAGTGCTGCTTCAGCCGCTGACTCTCTGCGTGTCCCCAGGCAAGGCAGCTCCCTCCCTGAATTGCTGACTCCTTACCTGTTGGAGAGGAGGTCTCCTGAGGCTCTACACTGGGCCTTGAGTTGAGAATTATTAATATTATCATGATTATAAGTTACTGACCCAGGCTTTAAGGTAGTATAAGAAAAGGGAAAGGGGAGCACATAGCGGACATACAAAGACGCTGTCATACTACAAGAAATCAAGTGTGTAAATTGTGAAAGATAAGTCATGGTTTGTTTGTCCTGCTGCAGTTTAGAAACCACAATATTGTCAACAAAATACCAAATGAAAAGCATGCTTTATTATCTCTCCTACAGTTATGGTCCTTCACTCCTGTTGTTCCCCACTTGGCTGAGACAGCCTGGCAGAGGTGATCAGAGTTGGGCAAGTGATGGTCAGAGCCCACTGTTGCAGGGCACCCCTGCCCACCCACACATTTCAGTTACTCTGTTGCTGGCCCTGGCCGAGGTGCTGGGTGTAGCAGAATCACATGGTTCCTATGGTGGGGACTGAGCCATCTTCGTATAAAATGACAGTCACAGTCTTGACCTGCCACATACTGGTTAATATCTGAGCAGATACATCCCACCAAACTAGGACACACAAATCTTTTTTAAATAATAAGGGTAATGCATTCATAGAAGTCTCAGCAGCTTTAGGGGCCACCAAGGATAACCCAGGTAATGACACTGCCTTCGGCTTAGCTGCACCTCTGTTTGGTCCTGTTCCATCAGGCCACATTTGGTGGCCATGTGGTCCTTTGCAGCCCTCAGGGCCTCATACCCTCAGGGCTTCTCTGGTTGGGTCCTTAAGGCCTGACACTTGCTGGGGAGGCGGTCAGGCCTTTTCTAAATCCTCCAGGGTGCTCCAAGGACTCTTGCTCAGAGCATCAGTATCCAGGTTTTCGGGGTGGCTTGGGATACATGTCAGCCACGTGCTGTGCAGGCGGCACTGGGATTGTCAAGACTGTAAAGTAAAGCCGAGGGTCTGCAGCCTGGGATTGTTAGATAGATCTCCTCTCCTCAGGTGATGTTTGGGCTCTAGGCTGGCTGGTCTGAGCTCTTCTGGAGGTAGAAATGTTTCTGGTCCTCTGTCCCTCCTTCACTGCTCTCGCAGCTCCTGCCCACAAAGTTAATTCCTCCTCCCTCGGGCTCCGCAGGCTTCGCTTATACACTGGCATTTTAGTGACAGTTCACATATCTGCCCACCTCCCACCTGTGAGCCCATTTGGGGCAGCCACTGAGCCTTTTTCTGGAGTTTCATTTTATTATATTACTGTGTCGTATTGTACCAGGTCATGTTGTATTATCCCCTGGTGCCTGCCACCATGCCTTGCACACAGCGTATGCAGTCAGTGACCTTTCAATGACATGGAAGAGTTGTGGGTCATCCTGACTGGCAGCCAGTGGCTGGACACAAAACTCCTATGAGTTCCACAGTCATTGTCTTATACAGATGGATTATTTTGCATGAGATTTATAGATTATTAACAATAATGCTTTACATTATGACTTCGTTTGTCCAATTCATCTTGCACATTGCTGCCAGGTAATAAATTAGACTCATGTCATCGTCAAACATGGCATTAGCTTACAGCTGAAATCATTTCTTCATCATTTGTCTGCCCCGGGCATCCTCCATGGCCCTCCCAGGTTCTTCTTGGCCTATCAGAGGAGAATCAACCCCCGGAGATCATTCCATGCCAACCTTTCTGCCCATGATGACACTGGCAAGGCCATCCTGGAGGTCCTTTAGAGCTGGGAGGTGACCTGACTTCCTGGCTCAGCCTAGCAGCCACCACCCCCACTCAGAGAAGTACAGGTGGACATTCCTGCCACTTGCGTCTTCCTCCTCCAGCCCTTTCCAGGGTCTGGGGAGGCTCTCACTGCTGCTCCCCCGCGTGGTCCTCAGGTCTCACCTCCACTCCGTCCCCCTGCAGGGAGGATATCCCCCTAGGCACGCTGCCTGGGATGTGGCTTCTCCCAGGAGGACATTCAGGCAGAGTTTGAGCCAGGCACCACTGCCCACACCACTGCCCATCCACTTTACCCCAGCGCCTGGAGGCTGCGTGGATGCTAAATGCTTCTTCCTCCCTTGACTCCAGGTGGCTCTGAGCAGAGGACAGGCATCAGTGGGCAACACATCCAGAGGTCCACAGCGCCACTCAGTCAGTTCACCTTAATGAAAAACGAGCCATTCTCCAAACCCCATTGTTCCCAGGACTCCCCTTATCCCTCCACAGCATACTAGCAAGTGATATGCACCGACAGGAATGGGAAGTAATTCACTGAAGAATATGATTTTAAATAGTATTTATGGATTTTTTCCAATTCTAAAACACATAATCATTATTAAAAATTTAGAAAATGTAGTCAAGTTTAAAGAAGAAAATTAAAAATCACCCATAATCCCACTGCCCAGAAATCAGTGCCTTTTGCACTGACTCTCACCCTGCCCGTCCCTACCCTCACCTCCCAACGTGTGCGCACGTGTACGCATGCACCGACCCTACCGATTGGAGAATTTGATATGCTCTCATCAGTTAACACTGTGTCAGGAGCACTGCTTACCTCACTAAGTATTTTTCACATGTCTTCTCACCCAGGCTCTAAGTGGATGGGGCTCGCCTCCTACCGACGGCCCGCCCACCCCTACTTCCAGCCCACCCCTCTGGCCTCCCCTCTCTGCTGGAAGTTTGCTCTCAGACTCTAAAGACCTTCAGGTCTCCCAGTCCTGGGAACAGCCCTACTCAGCCCGCATGCCCACAGCATGCCACCGCCCTCTGCTCCCTGACTGCAGAGGAATGAGGCAGGGGTGCTCCAGGGGCGTGGCTGCACCTCTTCCCCTCCCGTGGCTCCTTGGCCCCATCTCCTTCTGCTCAGAGAGTCATTCATGGCCTTTACCAGCAGAAAACCCTGACACCAGGGTCTAGTTTCTCTTGCTGTCTGGCCCCACCCCCCTGGCACTCCCCAAATCCTTCCCACAGAGCCAGGCCACAGCTGGTCAGTTCTCCTGGGATTCCCCAGAGAGCCTGGGAGGCCTGAATGTCTTTTGTGAAGCTGCAGGCAGAAGGGTAGGGGCTGTGAAACTTCCCAGCACCTAGGGAACCTCTGCACGCGTGGCCTGGACCCTCCGCAGGTGAGGGACCGTGAAGGCAGACGTGGAACATGGAATCGTTACATGCATGTGAAGTAGAAGTAACGCCAATGGCAGGGCGATTAAAATCTGTGAACCTTCAAGACACCTCATCTTATTTCAATGACTCTCTCAACAAATGATACGTCAATATGCATCAGTAATATGTAATCCAATATTCTGCTAATTTTTAATTATATGTTCATTTTTATAGGGACAATTCCCCCCATTCTTATGGTAAATGCATGGCCGTTTCACCCCATTACCCGAGTGGCTTCATGGCCCTCTTGTTTAGAGCAGCCGAGGCTGCAGTCCTGGTCTGGGGAAGGCCCCAGCCCCCACAGGCCCGCTCACTGAAACAGGCCTGGCAGACGTCCCAGACTGCAGACTCCGCTCATCCAAGCGGAGCGCAGGGTCGGCACCATGTGGGGCGCTGGGCAGCTGGAGCGGTACTCAGAGGAGCCCCACCACAGGGTCGTCGCACATGTCCCAGGTATTTACTACACCAGTTTTCCACAAGTGCAAGTAAAGTGTCTTGAGGAAGGGGCACCTTTTTCTAATTCACACAGAGTCCCCAGCAGGGCTAGCACGGGGTGTCCCTAGGTCAGACTAGCAGTGGAACTGTCCGCACACTCCATCCCCTCGGCGATCTCGCGCAGGGCAGGCATGCTGAGGAGGTAGGCCAGTTGGCCACGGCAGGACATTCAGGGGTCTTGCTTTGGCCTTGGGATGGTGCCCACAGCCCAGGCCTGAGCCTCAGGGTTTCCACTCCAAATACCTAGTGTATGTGGTCCCTAGAGGTGACCAGCACCCATCCCCCTGTCCAGGTTCCCAGAAAGTGGTGCCAGCTCAGCTGTGAGCAGCAAGGGAGCACAGTGTCGAAGGACTCCAAAGCTCGGGTTGAGTGGTCAGCATTTCCACTCCCCGCAGGACAGCTACGCGAGACTCCAAAGTCAGGGCCGGAGCAGCCAGTCAGCGAATAACCCCAGTGCACTGTGGTGGCTCGTGCGCTGTGTTCGCAGGGTACAGACCTGTCAGTCAGAGGGCACGGGCCCGTCCTCCCTGGGTCAGGGCTGGAGACATCAGCTTGCCTGCCCCTTGGGTCCCCGTACAGACATCATCGTTGGGAGGATCTGGCGGGGGCGTAGGGCCCCGCCTTCCTCTGCACCCTCACAGTCAGCGCTCCACACCTCACCCATGTCATGAGACCCATCTCTGCAGTCACGTGTCCAGAGGAGTCCTGGCTCTCCCAGCAGCTGTGCTCACCCTTTCCGTGTAGGTTTTGTCCCGAGAACGTTGTCATTTCCCTGGCTCCCATGTTCTCAGGGCCGTCCTCACACTTGCCCTCATTTTTCCCTCCTGAAGAGCTGCTCGTGGAGCGTGTCAAATGGGCTCTGGGGAGGAACATTTCAGAAGTGATCCGAACAGTCTCAGGGGAGGAGCAGACAGCAGAGACTGCAGCCAGCCCTGTGTCCCCTGCCCCCGCTGCTGGATAGATGCCCTCAAGGCTGTGTATATGTGAGTGTGTGAGAGGCAGGGAAAAGGAGAAACATGGAAGGACTGACGGACAGCAGACACATCTGAGGCCTGGAGCTGCAGACAGACAGACTGGGGGCCAGCAGGAGCCCCCCTCAGACCCTCATCCTTCCCCCAGGATCGCCGGAGTGCAGTGCATGACTGTGCCTGGCTACTCCAAGGGCTTTGGCTACCAGACAGGGCAGAGCTTCTCCGGGGAGTTCGACCACGCCTGGAATGCTGTGTATCTGGAGGGGAGATGGCACCTGGTGGACAGCACCTGGGGCAGTGGCCTGGTGGACACCACCACCTCCAAATTCACCTTCCTGTAAGTACAAGCCTCAGTGTCTTGTCTGCTGGGTGTCTGGTCAGTGGGAATGGAGGAGGCAGCAGGTGGGGAAGGCCAGGGAGGATCTAAATGCAGTGCGCCTGCATCCGCTCTCTGGCTCCTGACAGCTCCCTCCACCAAAGTGCTATAAGCCTCCAGCACTTGCCCACAGGCCTCATGTGAAGAAAGGCAGGGCGAAGATGCTTCTTTAATTGTTGGCAGGTTCCCTGCGGGTCTATGGCCTACTGACTGTTTCACTGTGTTGGGAAACTGTTTTTCACTTTACCCAGACACCAGGCTCTTCATCATCTCTGGGCCAAATGAGACCATATCACATCTCCAAGGAAGGGGCTGTGGATCTATGGGAAGGGGTGCCGTGGGTGGTGCAGGGTCACTGGGAGCCACGTGGGGCAGGTAGCTGGGGTGCAGGGGATGGGAGAGGAGCTCTGGCCAGCCCTGGCCTTAACTAAGGCCACGCACAACATTATTCATGGAACATGATGTCCACCAGCAGCTCAGATCCCTTTCTGTTCAGAAAAGTGAGTGTGCACGCTCTGATTTTTGCAGCTTAAATTTTGGCATTCCCACACATGGGACAAATACAAGCCACGTGCCCACACACCCTACACACGGGGCTCGCGTGCTGACAGACGCCTCCTTCCCCTCCATTTCTCTGGACACTGCTCTCCCCAGACGTGGTGAAGCCTCCCTCATCGTGGGATGAGCTTCCCCATTCTTGTCTTGAACTCCTTCGCTGACCTCCAGAGAGCCAGCCCTCGAGTCGGCCCCAGGGAGCTACAGAGGCCCCCGCCGCCGCTGCCAGGCAGAGATAGATGGGGGATGGAGGCAGTGCCTTCCCACACCTCCACTGCCCGGCACCTGGCCTGCGGGTTGTGCCTTTGCTCCCTTCAAATTCCTGTTTGTCTTCGAGAGCAGGGGGAGCCCATTCCTCCAGGCACCCTAGGTGCTGATGAACAGGCCACGGTTTCAGGCCTCAGACCCTGCTTTTGCTCCAGTTTCTAGAAGCATCCACTGAGGAGGAGTTTCCAGTGTCCATGTTAGGATTTCCATCTGAGGTGTCGATAGGACTCCTATGAGTGTGTTAGCCAAAAGAAAGCCCCCAAAGATCCCCTGTCGGCCCCCACTTCCTCCTGCACAGAGCCAGTGCAGGCTGACCCCACATAGCTACTGACCAGCTTGTCCTCTGCTCCAGCTACAACGAATTCTACTTCCTCACCCATCCTGCGCTGTTCATTGAGGACCATTTCCCAGACAACAAGAACTGGCAACTGCTGAAACCGCCTCAATCTCTAAGGCAGTTCGAGAACAATATGTATCACAAGAGTGAATTCTACAACAAGGGGATGCTGAGTGCCCACCCAGAGACTTCCGTAATCAGGACAGGTGAGCCCACAGCAGGTGGCCAGGCTGGTGCGCTGGTGGCAGGGGCAAAACAGTCTGTGCTGTGCCTCCAGGAGCCCACCTGAGGCTGCCATGCCAAGCCCCCCACGTGGCTATGGGTGTGTAGGGGTGCGGCAGCTGCTGAACAACCAGGCCTTCAGGCCATCGGGGCAGGGCATGGCCAGGGACCACATGGGCAGGGACAGAGGCTCACTCACACTGGCATAAACCAAGAAGGGGACGTGTCGAAGGCTGCAGGTTTCCCAGCACTGAGGGCCAGACGCGCAGCCTGGCCTGTCACAGAGCCAGTGCTGGAGGCTCCCGAGCTGGTGAGTGTCTGTCAGCTCACGCAGCAGGGAAGAGAAATGCCTCCGCCCTGGCTGCACACGGCCTCCTGGCTGAGCCGCCCGGCAGAAGCCGGCTGGCCCGCTGTGTTCTCCCCCAAACTCCCGGTAGAGAGAACGTGTGGGCCCAGCGGTCGGTATCTATGTGCCGGTGGTCAGAGAGTGAGGTCAGGGAGCAGCAGAGGTCTCCTCAGAGAGGTAGGGATGGTTCCACCCAGGACAGAAGGTTGGGCAGCTTCCTTAAGGAGGTAGCCACCAAGCTTGGTCTTGGGAGGTGAAGAACAGGTATAGCGGGTAGATGTGTTCTAGGCAGTGAGAGGAAGGAGGGGGCACAATAAGCCCCCCACTTCCAAACTCAAGCACCCCAAATGAGCACTGGGCTCCAGAGGGCTTGGCCTGGCCTGCCCAATACCCCCTCTCTCCTGGAGGCAAGACCCAGCCTTTTCCAGCCGGCTTCCCTGAGGGTGGGCAGTGCAGGACACTAGCTTAGCTGCCTCCTGTGGCTGGCCCGGGCTGGCATTTGCCCCTCCACCCCACGGGGGCCATGGCATCTGTGAAGCTAGCCGGGGGAGCGAGCAGAACTGTGTCATGAGAAAGCAGGGCTTTCTCTAGAGGACTGTCTCTTATGCCTCTCCAAGGCCCCAGGGCCAGGCACACAGCCTGGACCCACTGCAGGGCTCAGTCGGTTGGGCAGCCCACCCTCCCACACCTCAGCCATGGACTGCCTGTCAGCACGGTCTCTGCAACCAGGAGGCCTCCATAGGTCCAGGACAGGAGGCCTGAGCTCACACGGGCCATTAGGGTGACCTGTGGGTGGGCCCAGAGTGTGGGGGCAGCAGGGGAGCACAGGTGCCCCCAAGTTAGTTCCAACTGATCCGTCCCTTCCACACACAACGGTTTCCTTAATCAGGTTGCTGAGCTGTTGCACACTCTTCAAAACTGCAAATACCTGGCAGCTCCTGCTGCTGAAATAACAGCGTGCGGGTGCTCACTTCGAGACTCTGTCTCTGCACGTGCACCAGAGGGAGAGCCTGTGCAGTCTGGAGTAGGCCACTGTACCACGGGAAAGAATCGACCAGGCCACCGCACCATCAAACTAACATCGTTGGGTTGAGTTTGTCTTTTCAAGAGACATAAAAATATAAATATCACACTTTTTAATTTATAGTGTTCTAAAACTTGATCCCATATTTGTGGTACACATGTGAGGAATATTTCTTTGAGGTAGCTAGTTGTGCTAAGAGTGGGGATGAGAAGGAAACAGGAGAGGGACACTGAGGTGGGCACAAAGGAGGTGAAGGAACAGGGTGCCCAGATGGGGGGCTGGGAAACCAGCAGGATCCAAGACAGAGCTAAGCGGGGCCTGGGAAGGAGGCAGCAGGGAGCATGGGAAGAGGCCACGGGCTCCCACAGAGGGCCCGGAGGGGTCACCAGCCCTTTATTTCAAGTCTTCTTAGTTATTCAGCACACCTTTGGCAAGAACCCTCTGGGCCAGGCACCATGACCAGGCACCAGGACATGGCAGGAAATGAGACAGGCTGGCCCCTTCCCCAAAGAGCCCATAGCCCCACAGGAAGGGTAGACATTACACAAAAGTGCTCACCCGATTAATTACGACAGTGGTAAGTTCTCTGAAGGAGTGTCAAGGCCAGGAAAAAGGCTTCCAGGGAACTCAACCTCACCTGAGGGGTCCAAGTAGACTTCTTTGCCGTCAGGACTTTATGGTGAGGCCTTATCCAGGGTTGGGGGAGGCAGTGGGGAGGGAGGACCTGAGGTTGAAGGGGTGTGGCCCTGGAGGATCTGAGAGGATGCCCCGACACTGGCAAGGCAGTAGACAGAACTCTCCATGCGTCTCCAGTTTGAGGGGCTTGGAGTGAGCCCAGGAGCAAGCAGGTGGACGTTTGCACAGGAGCCCTCGGGCTGCTGCACGGGGTGCTAGGTGACGCTCCACAATCAAAGGTGAATCACAGGGGGATCTGGACCTCATGGTGTAGGAATGACTCACAACCAGCTCTGATGTAAGATGGAACAGGACAGGACTGTGAGCAGTGGAGGCTGAGGCAGCCTCTGCCTGCTGAGCTGGTCTAGAAGAAGCGAGAGGAGGGGAGGGTTTCCACCTGGAGGGGACAGCAAGTCTGTTGATCTTGGTCACTTTGCTTTGGAGGTTACCATGGAACAGATATGGCTGAAGGCAGGCACCTCTGCCTCCCCAGCAAGAGCATCTGAGCCCAGGCCAGGGAGAGGTTACTAGTGAGCATGGGTCACACAGCCTGTCTCCTTCCTTTGCACTCATCTGTGAACAAGATCGTGGGGTGTTGCAGAGGCTGGCGGCAGGTGACCACCTTCTGAGAGAAGAAAGGTCAGACTCTCAGAGAATCCACTGCTCCTCCTCGTGGTCCTGGGAGCCAGGGAGAAATAGGTAGGCAAGTCCTCATGGGCTGCAGAGACCATGGAAGTGACCACCTGTCCCTGAAAATCAATGACCAGGACAAAGAAAGACAAAACTGCAGGCTAGGGGGAGAGACAGAGGGAGGGGGGATGCAAAAGACCCTCCTGTGCACGCACTGACCCTTCAGGGGCCCATTCCAGAAACACTGCTAAGACACACCTCGGTGAGAAGCAGGGCGTAGGGGAGGTGGGTAGCGGGGAAGCACCCCATCCCAGCCCCCTGAGCACAGTCTCCTGGAGTGAGGCCGTCCCACCTAGATTGGAAGGTCGTGTGTTGACATGACAGCTATTGGTACTGTAACAAACAGATGCTGGAGGGAGCTGTGTGAAAGCAAGACCTGGGGCTTGGGGGAGATGGTGCCCTTCCTGTCCCTTGGTCCTCTCTGGAATCAGGCAGTCTTCAACTGATAGGAATCAAAGGGTTGGGATGGGCACATACAGCTGGTGGCACATTTTTCTTGACACCCCCAGCTTTCAGCTCGCTCAAAGAGATCCACCTAAAGAGGTAGAGGAACCCTTCCAGGGGTGTGCTGCAGCCAGCTAGTACTGTGTGTGTCGTATCCGTTGCTTAAAATCAACCATGGTGGAAGTATTTACACCACAGAAATGGGCAAATGCTGCAAGTCAGGGCTATTTTTCTCCCAGAGAGACAGTTGTTAAATATTTACCAGCACATCAGCACATATTGGACCCATCTCTCCTGACCCCGACTTTCTCTCCACAGTGAACGGGAAGGCCACAGTCACCATCGAGAGCTGTGCCCCAACACTGTTCATGTTCATGCTCAACGGCAAGCAGGAGCACGGGCTGCTGAGCCTCAGGAAGAACGGGATGAAGCTGGAGGTGTACCCTCCCACCATGGGCACCCACAAGCTGCAGATCTTCGCCAAAGGCAACTCCGACATCTACAGCTCAGTGCTGGAGTACACGCTCAAGTGCAACTACGTGGACATGGGTGTCCAGCTGCCAGCTGAGCTGCACCAGCCCGTGGGCCCCAGCTGGTTCTCAGAGCAGATGGGCATCACAAAGCCCTCCCACCCTGACCCCCTCATCCACACCAGCGATGGGCGCTGCTCTATCAGCTTCGGTGTGGAGGAGGGCATCAGCGTCCTGGCTTCCCTGCATGGAGACGACGGCCCCATCACCGAGGAGACGCAGCGGCGCTACATCTTCCAGCTGCACCGGGAGAAGCGGATAGAGCTGAAAGTCCAGCTGCCACATGCTGGCAAGTTTGCCCTCAAGATCTTTGTCAAGAAGAGGCAGGAACCAGGAAACTACATCTTTGTCTTCAATTATCTCCTGTGCTGTGCCAACACCAAGGTGAACTGGCCCGTGTTCCCTGAGAGCTTTGGCAACTGGGGGCAGGACAATGAGCTGCTGGAGCCCCTGTCGGGTGTGCTTCCCGCCAACCGGAATGTCCCATTCAAATTGAAGCTCCATGGTATTGCCAAAGTCCTGGTGAAGGGGCAGGACACGTGGCCCCTCACCCTGAACCATGAGGGCTACTGGGAGGGCAGCTGCAGCACGGCCGGCTGCCAGGAAGTCTACGTCATGGTGCTGGAGAACGCCAACCACAACTTCTACTCCTACATCCTGAAATACAAAGTGAATGCCCAGTGAGGGCCTGGGCCCCGGCGTACCCTCCAGAGGGCCAAGGCCAGGCCCGGGGAGGGCCCAAAGGCAGTGCAGAGAGCCCTGGGCACCCCTGAGTCTGCATGAAATCACTTCTAGGGCTCTGCCTCAGTGTCCCTGCTCTGCCGCAGGAGCTGTGATATTTACGTTCTGAAGGCTTCACTCAGTTGTCGCCCTGGCCAAGGGGACAGAGGCAAAGGCTCTTTAGAAGAAAAAGGTGCTATGTAAATCCAAGGTATTGTAAACTGTACACCAGCGCCCAGATGCCCCCTTCTCGTGTTAATGCTTTTGTTCTTGTTGTTATAGGGTTGATGTGGGAAAGCAGGGATGTTGCCCAGGCTAAAAGCTTTTCACGTGATGCTTAGAGAATGCTCCTCCACGCCCAGGAGGGTCATGATTTGCAAGGCTGAGTCATCCTTGAATCGCAGAGGCCCTTTCAAGCAGCATGACAGTGTTTCCTGACAGCTCCGGGCCCCCAGGGAATGTCGGATTATCATCTCTTCCCAGACCTGACCGTCTTCTGCATTCCTGCTGCCTCTTCATTAGCTGCTTGTTGTTCTTCAAGAGCCCTAGAAGAAAGGTGTGGAGAGCGCCTCCACAGTCCCTGTGCATAGCTGGGAATGTGACAACCAGAAGGTGTGAGGAGACTCCAAAGAAAGAGCAGCCAGTGAGCAGCCAGTGCCCACTGTGGGTGTCCTGGTGGGATGCCAGGGGACGGAGGAACACCCCTGTCAGTCCTGCAGCCTGAGTCTCAGGGTATAAGACCTCGGGCTCTGTGCTCCTAGAGGAAGGTGAAGGGCAGCCAGTTCAGTCTCAGGGGGAGGCTGCCCCCAGGCCCTCTCAGCCCGACCCCTGCCACTCGCCTTACAGGAAACCTGTAGATAACCCTAAGTAAAGGCCCTGCAGAGGTGAGGTGAGTGCATAGTGAGTAGAGCGACTGCAGCGGTGCCAGCAAGACTTGCAGGGTAATGGGGCTCTGCCTGCCCCCACAGTCTCCACCAGCAAAGCCATGGCTGGGGAGGCCTCCAGCAACGTGGGAACAGTTTTTGTGCTCATCTCTGCGAAAAAGCCCTATCCCATCTCCCTTCCTCCCTTTCTCTGAGAAGAGAGACCCTGCCATACAGAGCACGCCTTCTGCGGGGACAGTTCAGGGCTCCTTGCTTGCTTAGGCCAGGCCTGAGAAGCCTCGGCAGAGCAGCTGGCCCTCAGCAGCGCCTGGAGCTGGCGTTGCCATGGCAACGGTGGAAGGGCTGACTCCAGCAAGGGCAGCCGGGAGGAAAAGACAGAGAGAGGACCCTTGTGGCTGCTGCAACACCATCCCAGCACCCGGACACACTCTGGGGTGATCCCTGCCAACCTCCCTGCTTCTCCAGCTCTAGGGTCCCTGCCTGTCTCCGTGCCCCACCCCTGAGAGTCGGCTTCTCTCCCCTCTGCCACTCCACTTGCCCCGGGGCTCACCTACAGCCAGGGCCAGCCAGGATCCTAATGTCTTCCCCTCTGCACTCACATCTGTGTTTCCAGCAAATGCTCAGGGGACACTTAGTAAGTGCCAGGAGCCATGCTAGATGCTGGGGCTACAGAGGTGAACCACGGCGGCCCAGCCCCTGCCTTCCAAAGCTCAGGGTGGGAGGACCGCCAGGCAGCAGCAGCCTCCCCTACCCAGGCCTGTCTGAAGTTCCAGGCTCCCAACACTTCAGTCGGTCAACTCCCTGGAGTCCCTGCCCACAAAGTCCCTACCACTCAGCATGGACCTAGCCCAGAGCCAGCTCGTAAGGGTGCCCATCCTGCACCAGGCTGGGGGCCGTGAGCACAAGGGGCGTGCCTCCTGGGGGGCTGAGCTGCCCTAGCCTGTTCCATTGCCCTCTGATAGGCTCTGCCACCTAGCTGGCACCCTGTCACTCACACCTGAAAAATGCACAAAAGCCCCAGAGACATAACTGATATGCACCGCCACAGGGAAACAAGGGGAGTTTTTACACCCTGAAAACAGCATTTTCACACACCTTTGATTTTCCAGGCTGAAAGAAATGTGCTGTGTTTCATCAAAATAATAAGTGCCTTCTATGACACATGTCACTCACTGGACCCAGCGCTGGCTCCACGGCTAGTCCTGCTGGAGATCTTCTACTAAAAGATGTGCCTTTTGAGATACAATATAATTAATCAGTACATTCTGGAGCATGCAGAGGATGCCACCCAGCAAAACAGGAGCTGTCCCCCGCACCAGAGAGGGAGGCCCCGCCTCTCAAAGCGCCCGCGGGGCACCCCGCCCCTCCCCCTTCAGTTAACCAGGCGCCCCCTTTGTAAAGACAGCTGTAGGCGCAGTCAGAAAATCACCTGCATTTCTTTCCCACTGAAGTAAAAATACATGAAACGAAATCCAATCTTCATGAATTTTTACACGCATGCTGCTCAGGGTAGAAATTCGGGATTGTATTTTGAAGGCTTTTATTCAAATCCCCATCTTTGTTTCCCGGCCCACGAGTCCCAGCGGCCGGTGGAATGACTCGGGCGCACCCTGGTGGCCGAAGTGCGGCGCTGCGGGTGCTGCTCACCTCCGCGAAGCTGCGAATTTACGCAGAACTTGAAAAATACTGTTGAGATGTTTATGTTAAAACCACTGGTGCTTTCTCGTGACTTCTCAGCGCTTCCTCGTGTAGTGGAGCGCGTCTTTGCCACACACAAGCTGTGAGGGGAGCCTGGGGGCCTGCTGGCGTGGTGAGAAGACGGAATGTGATAGGAATTAGGAGTGTTTTGCCGGGAAATCCCTTCTTGAAACAGAAACACTGGACATAGGACTGGGTGGGACAGCTTTGACCGCACTCATTGCTATACCAGTGAAGCGCTGAAACTGCTCAAACTCAGAGTACGCTTGCTAGCAAGTCCCAGGATGGCAGCCCCTAGGCCACAGGGCAGACAGGTGCCCTGGCACAGGACAGTGGGGGAGGGGCGGGGCAGAGGGGCTACAATCACGACTGCAATTAACTTCTTTTCAGCTTGTTTTAAAAGTGCCACCAGCACAGCTGGACTTCGTTTGCAATCTGATTATGATCATTGTGAGGTCCCCATATGTTACATTGTCCCACCAGGACAAACTCCTCACAGCCTGCTGAGATTAAAAGGAAATAAATAGATTAATTGAAGCATGAAGGATTTAGGCTAGACATAAAGAACTATTTCCTGTTGTTAAGCAGGAGGCACAAGCTGCCAAGAAAGTTGGTGAAATCCTCTTCTCAAAGGACTTGAAAAGTAGAAGAGTTTTCCCAGTGCTCTGGTGTTTTAGATGCCACTGGCATGGATTAGGTTCGCTCCATCCCAATTAATTCTTAAAACACACTGGTTCGCCCGCAGCAAACAAAGGGTTAACGGGTATTGCCAGATTGTTTGCTATTGACAACATTTTCAAAGGTGGTGTGCGTCTGAGGCCCACATCGGTTTATCTGAGGTCTATAATTTCTTTTCATTTGGAATAAGCAGTTGGAAACCTGAAGGGGTGATTACTTCTCATAATGTGTGCATTGAGTTGTGTGGGCCGGTGGCTGTTGAGTATGCTTTCCCCACATTGTTGCTGGTGTTGTTTTTCAATAAAATTTATATTCATTTTTATCCAACAATGTAATTATCGATTCATTCTTATCACTGCTCTCACAAGGTGTGGGGCGGAGGAAAGAGGAGAAAGTACTTTCATGTTCAAAGAGAGCCCTGGAAAAAAATCAATGTCCCAGCCATTTGAATGTGATGGCGAGATGCAAATGAATGTCAGGCAAATAGCTATTTCACATTAAAGAAAACATAATTAGGTTAGCTCCAGCCCTCTATGGCTCACATGCCTTTGAAGAACATGAAGGCAGTGTTTCTTTCATTGAATCTTGTTTAACTTGAAATTTTTTAAGTCAACCCTAATTTCTTTTTATAGTAGGAGGAAAAAAATGTACCAAATATGCCTATCGGCCTAGTTTTTTTTTGTTTTGAATATATATAAATATGGATTTCTTGATATTCATATACATGCAGAAACTTTCTAGCAGGTTACTTACAAGAAGATTATTCATAAATTAGACATGTAGAGAAATACAGAAAATGAAAATCTAGACACCTCCGAGAAGCTGCTGTAACCATGGAGACCATTCTCGTAGCTGTAGTGTGAAGGACAAAAAGAACTTGTGTTCCCAAATCTGGCCTCGTCATGTCTCTCACTGCTAGATCCACAAAAATGAGACCCAGCATGCTTCTCCTTAGGAAGGAGGCGCAACAGCGTATTACAGGGAAGACAGAAGAAACAGTCTGCTGCACAAAAGAAGGAGTAACTCTTGAGTTATTAGAACAGTCTGAAAATGCCAACCCGAGGCTGAAAGGGATGACCTCCAACGTCCCTTCCAGTCCGGAGAGTTTGTGATGCCGTGTCTCTGTGAACAGATGCTGGCAGGCGGTGGGCCTGCGGTTGTCAGCGACAGAACATGTGAAGGACCCTGCTGGGGAACATCTGAAGGGCCCTGCTGTGTTAAGAGCCTGCCCCTGGAGCCCCCAGCAGACTGCGCTGCTGGCTCCTCGCTTGCCGGAGGGCAAGGGACTGGAGAAAAGCCCAGCACAGGGACCTGAGGGGAAGCAACAGCCTCTGACAGGATGTTGGTTCTCTCTGATTTTGCAGGCAGGAATAGAGAATACTAAAAGTCAACTGGGACGTCCTCTTTTCGTTGTCCCACAGGCAGCTCTGAGTAAAAAGATGTTAAAATGAAGCCATTTTTCTCCCCCAAATTTCTTCCAACTCCTCCTGGGCTCCCAATTCAGCAAATGCATCCTCATCCACCCAGATACCTAAGTCAGACTCATCATGGTCACTAGTGACTCCTTCACCCCCCTGAGTAATGAAATGAAATCTGGTCTCTTCTGGACGTGTCTCATGTCTGACCTGCTCTCCTAGCTCCAGCTCCTCTCGGTTCCCATGGTCTGCTGAAATGTGGGCCCTCGTCCTCTCAGCTCCACTGTTGGGATTGCTTCCTGTGATGAGATGAAGCCCACCTGCCCTGTTACTGTCCATGCTGGCCTCTGGTAAGAGCACTAGAATGATTGGGTTGTGTTCAGACAAGGCTTCCATGAATCCTTCCGGAAGAAGCTCACCCTCTCTGGAGAAGGCACAATTGGTATCAGGCACTGGTAGAAAAGGTAGGTCTTCACACAAAAACTGGTTTTAATAGGGAATCTTGGAAAAGACCAGTCTCCTCCTTTTTCTCTAAAGAGATGAGGTGCCAAGGTCCTCACTCCTGGGTGATGGTATGCAAGATGGCTCTTCCCACCACAGCCACGTGGAGGACTGTGGCAGGGTCCAGGGCAGAGCCCAGCCTGCAGGTGAACAAGATATGCCTTGAAGTCAGATTCTGCACATCCATGGCTCACAGATTACTTCTCTGTTGTCCTCGTAGACC